AGAGCGGACCAATCTGAATCCGTAAATTATGAGACACGCGAATTTAACACTTTAGGACCACCACTATTTGTCCTAAAGCCTCTAGTAACTGTAGCAACTGACGAACCACAATCGAGCTCCGAACGTTCAAAGAACAACGTTGTCTAGATTCTATTGCAGACCCTGAAATAGAAAACTTTCAACACAAAAAATGTCAGAAATAATGTGAGGAACAAACAGTCTAAGGAGACTGTAGCGAGAGCTCTCACGTGCCCTCACGCAAGGCTTCTCCTCTCTGCGCGTGGGGCTCACGCACCGACACACGCGCCGCCTTGCTGGGTCCGCCTCCACCTGCACGTCATGCCAGTGGTCTCCTTTTCCCAAAACTTCTTCTAGATTAATCAGAAAATGCGAAAATAGAGACTGATTTTGATAGTTTTTGGACAGCTTCTTTGATCTGATTTCTGCTGCGATTTCTGGATATTTTTGGTATGTTTCACGAGCCAAAACCACCACCTTAAAGTTCTGATACAAAATGTTGCGGAAGATCTCTTGAAAGAACTTCAAATCGGTAATTTTCGAGCTCAGTCCAACATACCTTTTTTCTACCAACAACTAATCCAATCGACTTCAAACCATGATCAATTAATTCACCTCGGTTGCTATTAAATTCTACCCACGTAGGACAAGAAAAAATGATGATTTGTGGCCACAAAGGTTAGGAGAAGACACCACAAATGTATACTATGAAGGAACCACCAATTGCACACGTTAAACAAGCATTTTGGACACTTCTAGAGACTATTTTTCACACACAAAGGGGGCGGCCGGGATTCCACTTTTTTCTCACACAAAACCTCACAAAACATCACAAGAAAGTGGCTAGGGTTATAGCCATATATATACTCTAGGTTTAGGCTTTAAGTCGAGCCTTTAAAGAGGAAAATGGATCAAGATTCAAGCCATCCAAGATGGAATATAATTGGGCCGGGTGTAACTCATGTACTTGGTTGCTGGACTTATTTCATTCATCGACCTATATCTGTGAAATAATATTAACCCATATTAACATCATAGCCTAGGATTTATTGGGTATCAAAAACCCAACATTCTAATTTATATTTACTTAAATTTTATAACCCTTTCATCTTCCTAATTTACATCCCAAAAAAATGCTTTTATATTTTAAAAAATAATCAAATTCACAATTGGCTCAAAAGGTGAGTTTATGAGTTATTTCTCTTTTCCACCTTTTTCTCTCCCTTTGAACATCAACATTTCTACTTCAGTGACCCTACATGGGAGGGCAAGAAAATGAAGAAAAGTCAACAAGCGGTTGTCTTTTCAATGGAGTTGGGATTTTAACAATTCATAATCACTTGATGAATTATGAATCTAGTGGTTGTTGTAATTGTCCATCCATTCTCGTTTCTTCAACGGGCATTTGATGGGGCAATTGATGGTCCACATTCACGGTTTCAGTTTTCAACATTGACAAACAGCATTCATGAGATTTCACTTCTCCATTGATTGGAAGGTAACAGTAGCCATAATATGATGAAAATTTGGCTATATATAGAAAGGTTTTTGTCCCCAAGCTCAAAACATACATGATACACTATCAAATTTGAGTGTTGAGAGCTTGGAAGTGCCATTACCTGGAACAATGAGAGCTTTTCGAACAATATCAATGGATGGAGGTATGAATCTGATTCGTGGAATGTTCAATTTTTCGATCCAATTTGATTCCACATAAGTGTTTTGGATTGATTTTTGTCTAACGGTGGTAATATTTCTAGGCAATATTTAGCCCTTACTCGTACATAAGAGGTTGATGGAATGACATGGATTTTTAAAAAAAGGTAGAAAATGTTGGATGAAAACTGGCCCATATCTACACCAGTTTCACCTCACATTTCCTCCATTTTGCACTCAAATTGCAGAAACTTTTGAATCCATCATCTTTCTACCCTAACTTCATCCATATTCTCCAATTCCATCGCTTAACTCAACGACCTCGATGGTCTCCATTTTATCCAGTTGTTTGGTTTTCCATTTGTCAATCGTTTGACCGATTTTTCTTCTTTCAAAGCTAAGAACACCATCTTCTTAGGGAGAATCTGCGGCAAACCTTTGGTAAGTAAGATATTTGGTTTACATGGGTGTGTCAATTTGTTGAGCATATGTGTATTATGTGTTTTGATTGTGTAATGAGATGCCATTTTAGAACACATGTAGTAGTTCCTATTACAAAGGTCTTCAACATGTGTCCTTGTGAATTTGAAGTTGATGACAAGACTTATTCTATTTTATTACTATGAATTTGTTTTTGCATAAATAAATTTACAGGGATCCAAATGATTCAAAGAATGGTGCATCTTTTTATTAAATTTATGGTCACTTGATATTATTAGTTGTGCATACTGTAATTTACTACTTTTCGACTTGCTGAAGAGATGATAAGGTTTTCTATTTAACTGTTGCATAGTAATACAATCTATATGTAGAGTTCAATAAGGTAAACTAAAAATATTGTCAATAAATGTTAAGTATTGCTAAAAGAAAACCAATGGGAAAAACCTATGGGTTAAAATTTGTCTGTTTAGTTAGGTAATCTCGCCTATTTCTGGATTAACTTGGCCTGGATAAAGGTATGTGGTTGAGGTTTTGTGTATTGAATGTGTAATGAAGTTTCATGTTTTCAGAAATTTGTTGTTATTCCATGCTATAAAGAAAGAAATGAAGTTATATAGGTCTTCGAAATTCTTGTGTACTGAAATTGACTATGAAGTAGTTTTTAATTTCAATTTGACTAGCTAGAACATTTTTTTACCAAATTTGCTAAGCATTAATTTGAATTATTTATTACATCATACATTCTGTCTATGTGGTTGAATTGTAGCTTATAATGGGAAGAAAAAATCACGGAGTATGCCATAATTGTAGATGTAACGATCATTTATTTGTGGATTGCCCAAATAAATGCCCATGCCAATTGAGTAAACATGAATTATTGAAAATCTTTTTAGGTGGAGCAGGATACTAAGAAAAAAGGTAATTTGTTCAATTGTTGCAGTGCGAACTGCGGATATTGAGAGTGGGTTTGAGCGGGTAAAACAAACAATGAATCAACAGAAATTGTTGGTATTACCTCCACTAAACCTATGGCGAATGAATTAGTTCAAGATGTCTCTGGCATGCTTGAAATCATGTGTCGACTAAGTCACGAAAAAGATGTGGAGATTTTTGTGAATGTGACAAAACGGCAAGGAAAAGCGATTGCGAAAGGAGATAAGAAAGGAAAAGGGGGCCTAATTTGTGGTTGTTAATTTAATCAAATTGTTAATTTAACTTATGTAGAGACTTTATTAGGATGCCTACTATGTGGTTAGTGTTTTATGTGAAATATACATGAATTAAAGTTTACCTATACCTCTGTTACCTACAAGAACATTTCACCAGCAAAATAACATAAATACGTAGAAGTCTATAGCTAAAAAATATTTTTCATTGATAGACTAATGTGTTAAACACAATTCATTAGCTACTAAACAAGCAGAGTACTATATCTAAAAATACAACTTCAAATCATAGATTAATGAGTTAAATTCAATAGGATAACATTGTTCATAAGCAAGTTCCTACATCAAACTGTTGTGAATGTTACAATAACTAATTCAAACATCCTAAAATAACATCGAATAAGATAACATTGAAATTCTATGTTATAACCCATTGCCAAAAAAGTTTGAAATCAACATAGCAATATCATACATCTTGATCCGGTAAACGTGGATAGTAGTTTGGTATGGCCTGAATTCCTATATAATATGAACATTATTACACAAACAAGAAAGATGTAGTCAGTGGGGTAAACTTGTTTAACCACATACATTACCTTGACCATGATTTGCAATCGACGGGATCAAACTTAAGGATTGTAGTTGTTGTGTAAATGCAATACTTTTGTTGTCACCCTATATGAAATAACTAGGTTTAGTAGAAAGGCAACTAAATCAAATAACTATGCTAACCATTAGTAGCTGTGTAGATGATAACAGTATAGTCATAGAATATTGTGCTTGTTGAGGTGCTTGAATGATGTTTGCACCATCTCCCATGTTACTTGGACATGCCTTATCTCTTTCATTTGTTTGAATTTGAACTTTCCTACATAACATCCCAACTACTTAATTATGTGTGCTTAAAAAATTACATTATTTGTAACATAACTGTGAAACATATCTTTACTTCATTCGAACTCGATTCTAATGGGCTCTTCTACACTACTGGTGCCAAATCCTATGTTGCTCTATACTGAGAGGCTATCTGGGTCATATACGAGGACATAACATTACTCCCAGAACTTGAATTCGACGTCATCATCTCTTTACATTGATATTCGATCCACTCTAGTAGTTTAGTAGCTTTGACGACATCATCTGTAGATAGTCTACCAACTTCGCAAAAGATTGACACAATTTGTCATACATCAACTGTTGTTTAGTATTAACCAATCCATCGTAGTTCACTGCGACTCTCGAGTAGGCTTTACTCACATCTTTCCACCATCTCCATAAGATATATCTGCTAGGTAGTACTTTGACATCATTATGGATAAACACTATGATTGCATGCCTACACTGTATTCTTCAAAACTCCAATGAGTGGTAACTGCACATAATTTCACACTTTTCTGGTTGAGATGAGACAATTAACTTTTTTCGTCGAACGCTCATCATGTATGACATCCTTGTGTATTTTATACGTCATCTCGAAACATCCCTCAAAAGCATATATGAGGTTACAATACACTTTTCCAATAAACTCCTTCGAACTTCTCTGAATTTTGAAATGGAGTAAGCTATCTAAAATTGCTTCTCCATTTCATAACTTGTTACACATGGTACCATTTACGATTAAGACTTGGCTTGGAACTCCTTCTCGATTTTATTTATCAAAGCTTGTTCATACTGTTCAACAAAATACTTCAATGATGTCTTCGAATGTATTACCCATTGAAGAATGCACTCATACTTTCACTTCGTTGGGTTATTGACACCCCTTCCAAGAATGTGGTTTTGAAATAGCAATGAACCCAATAGCATCAGTTATCGTACAGTCCTAATAACCAATCATTATCATGCAATTCATATATATTGACCATCACCCTCAAGCCTTTTTCAAATTGTTCAAGAGATTGAGAATCATAAACCAATTTATATACAGTCCGAAATATAGAACTCTTATTCACATGGCATCCAAACTTTTTTGGTAACTTCTTCACTATATGCCACAAACGCCATCTATGCTTCGTATTTGGAGACACGATCTAAATTGCATTATGCGTGTCCCTGACCTGATCGAAAATCATCTTATGGGGAGCTTGACCGTGCATGCATTGCAGTCATGTCCTAAATAGCCATACAATGTATCTGTATGCTCATTCAACACCAAGCTACATCCGAGTAGTGTCAATTGTCCGTGATGATTTACTCCAACAAAAGGGACAAATGATATGTCATTCCTATTAGTAAGGTAAATGCTATCAACTGTGACAACATCGCCGAAGTCTTTATATGCTTGTTGACTCTTATTATCTTCACAGAAAACATTCTTTAGCCTCGACTGATTGTCCAAATCCATACTAAAGTAAAACCTCAAGCAATTTGCTAGCATTTTCAAAAAGTAAGATTGTATTACTACGATGCCTCCTTTTCCAAGTTTTAACCGCCAAAGAATCGATTGTAGTATTGTTTCTTATCCCCTCCTGATTACATGTCAACATAACATATCACATAACTCTGTCATCGTCCTTTTTCAAATTTCTTTATCTAACTTGGAAACTATGTTGTACACATATCTTTTGTAAAAATCGAACAGTTCATTTTCATCATTGAACTTCATACCCACCTGAGGAACACTTGTACCATCACCGCCTAAAATTTCATCTTTGGAGCATAGTACTGTAGCATCACGAAGGAAGAAAGATTACATATTTTCATGACAAAGACTCTTTAACACATTTCATTTATTATATAATCAGAAACTACAAAAGCAAACCATTATGGAAAAAGGAAGTTGCCTTTGTTTATCACCATCTTTGAGTGAATGACAATGAGTCGATCGACATGTGGTTTCGAAATGAACCAGCGATGTCAATTTCAACTGGATTGGTCGGTGGAAGCCTTAGACGGATGTCGAATGGTGGCGCCAAAAAGGGGAATTGTGGATGAAAGTTTCTCAAAATTTGGGAGAAAAGATACGGCGCCTAATTGAAAATGAAAAGGGATTGGGCAGGTTTGCATACCACTCATATCCATTTTTTAAAAACAAATGCCACATCATTATGTGAGATGGAGTTTAAATCATTAGTGTACAAATAGCAAAATTCTTATAAATAAATAAATAAAATCCTCAGTTTAGCAAGAAAAACAACGTCTCTTTAGAATAAAGTTTGGACATTCTACCTGTTTAGTCCTATTTGATGGAAATTAAAATCAAATTAGCAAATTTAGATAAAAGTTAATAAAATATGTGACTGAAAAATTGAGTTTCATAAAATATGTGATTAAAGTTATTTGTTGATTTTGAATTAAATTAAAATTTTTATTTTTTATGAAACAAGGGCTTAATATTATCACGAGAATCCAAGTTATGTTTGTTTATTTGATAAAAGGGTAATTTGATGAGTTATGTTCCCATGGATATTACCTTTAAAAGAATTGAGATAACATCTATCTTCTTGAATTTTGTACCATTAGTTATTGGTAATTTTTCTTTACTTATTAATAGTACTTCATATATTCTGTAATTATAGTTGAATGTAACTCCCCTAACCGTATGCAATGCAACATCACCCATTTATTCATTAGCGCGTTACTGTTTTTCTTCTCTCAATTGCCAATTTATTTATTTTAGTCACAGTAGAAGTCATCAAAGTCATAAAGGTCGGTGCGACTTTAATTTTTGAGAATTTTTAAGTAAATGCTCGACAAAGCAAATGAGCGAAATGATCTCATTTTAGAATATTAATTATGTTTGGTATACATCATAGTGTACACTAAGTTTTACACTCCGTCACGTGACAACACATCATTTGACAGTTTAACCAATCAAATCATGTCAACAAAGATGATATCAAGCATAATGTAGAAATATGATGTACAAGTGGCTTTATCAGTGGAATATATGCTCATGTTTGAGTTATATTCTAGGAAAAAATGTATTGTTCATGTTAAATCAATGGAAAATGTGTACTTAAAAAATAAGAAAGTTTTTTAAATTTACGTGTAATATTATTTTATTGAAAAATGTGTGATTAAAATAATGTCAAATCATTATTGAAAAATATATTTTTTTTAAAATAATGTGGCTCAAATAAGCCTATATCACAAAATGTGTATTCTCTCTTGGGAAGTCATTTGTCAATCTTTCAACAGGAATTTCAATACAAAGCCCCCGTTTGTTTCCCATATTTATTCAAAATGCATTTTTTCCATCACATCAACGTGAGACCTACACACCATTCTTTATTGCAAATTTGAATTCAAAAGGCATGAAATTTCAGATTTACCCTTTGTATCAAAACAATTCAAAGATGTTCCCAAAAACCCGTTGAAAAGTCCAATGGGTAGGTAATCGTAAGGAGAAAGCCATTTTCTCTTTGTAAGTCACATGGGCTGTCAGAAAAATAATTGGCGACGTTTTGAAAATTAATTTCTGACCGAAATTAATGACTCTCAAACAAATTCAAAATGCATTTTTTCCATCACATCAACGTGAGACCTACACACCATTCTTTATTGCAAATTTGAATTCAAAAGGCATGAAATTTCAGATTTACCCTTTGTATCAAAACAATTCAAAGATGTTCCCAAAAACCCGTTGAAAAGTCCAATGGGTAGGTAATCGTAAGGAGAAAGCCATTTTCTCTTTGTAAGTCACATGGGCTGTCAGAAAAATAATTGGCGACGTTTTGAAAATTAATTTCTGACCGAAATTAATGACTCTCAAACAGCCCCTTAAGTGTAAGCTCTTATTTGGGCTCCATTTAAAAATAAATAAATACATTTCTCTCTCTCTTTCTCATCTTTTTAATCACATATTTTTTAATAAGATAGTACTACATGTAAATTCAAAACTAACACATTATTCAAAAAATCACTATTTTAAAATACATTTTCCACTAAATATGATTTTAATCGAGTCCAAACAAGGGCTAATAAGATACTCCTTATATAATAATAGAGGAAGGTTCTCATTTAATATCATCAACCATTTATACAAGTAATAAATATAATATTAATTAGTATTGATTCAACTTTAAGAAAATAATATTTCTACAAGACTTTAAAAGCTCTATAATGACGGCAACGTACATTGGGTGGCACCACAAGTCTTCTTAAGGGGTTCATTGGTTGGACTATTTTGCCCATTTATTAATATAATGGCACTTGCAAATGACAGTGTTGACTTAATGACAATATAGGAAATTCAAAGCTTTATCAGACTTATTTTTTTGCAGTAGTTTTACCATTACCAGTTTCTTCGGTATCCGTTTACCCTCCCCACGCTTTTACTCTCTCTTTTGCGACATAAGCCTGCAATGTGCATAAAAAAGCATCCTTCTTTAGAAATCGATACTATAATGCTAACTAGTACATCATGAGTCACATAATAGTTTACATACAGATGAAGTGTCAAAAAGATAGCGAAAAAGTTTTTTTTTCTCAATTTGGTTGAAGAAATTCTGATTCAATCATATCTTACCGCATCATATATATGTAAACCATTATGTAAAGCTTTGTATTCATGTAGCACAACCGTATATTAATTGTGAAGTACTGATTAGAAAAGCTCTAGTTCCTGCGTGCGATTTAGCACATACCTCTTTATTCCAGTTTGCGATACAAATCATCCAGAGTAATAGGCAAGACTGTAGGCATAAACCTAGCAACATTCCGTACCAAAGGCCCTGAAGAATATTATCAAGCCGATACAAAGTTAACATCACTAATTGATCGTTCACGACTATTTACGTGTGAAAATAGTCACCTCGATGCCCATTTTGAACTTGTAGGCCATCAAAACTCCCAGAGGAACACCTAGCAGGAAGTAGCATCCAACATTTATTAAGGCAGCTGGAACTTGCCACCCTGCTCCAATTGCCACTCCTACAATCTCGAATTAAGTTAATCCCATGGCTTTGACGAAGCATAAAAATGAAATAATTCAACTTCAGAACTGATATAAGCATTGAAAGAAGTTGGAAATTGATTAATATATACCAGTGAGAGCATATTGAACATTTGTTAAGAGTATACATATCCCTAGAAATGGTGTGAGCTCTTCGACAAGGTGCTTAACTTCCAAACTGTTCGAAAACATTGCCGGGTACTGCTTCGTGGTGACCATTAGGGTAAGAGAGAATAAGAAACTGATTAGAAGACACGTGATCCCAGCAACCAATGCTGAGAATTTTGCAATTCTCGGTCTTCCAGAACCTAGTTCATTCGACACTCTTACACTGCACACATGTTCAAGTCGGTTGAGACTTAAAAACTTACTCTCTATTTGGGAACTGATAAAAACGGCTAAAATTATGTATGTTTAGTACACAGTAGTGGACATTGTGTTAATTTACACACCTAATGGCAGCATGGAATCCAAGACCCACCATGGAGGTCCAACTCAATATGTTTATACTGCACAGTGGAAGTCACATGAGTAATTAGTCATGAACAATTATAGCATTAGCAATATGATCTTAAAATGTGCTTTTAACTGTTGTTCTTCTATTCCCTGCTGTGACCAAAATCATTATTAACTTATTTTGTGTCAGAAAATATTGAACATCTCGAGTCCACTAGCTTTTAGGTTCGAAGATGGAGAGAAGAACCAAACAAGTGTACATCGCCAACTAATGATCAGATGAAAGCGTTATAATTTCAAGAATTAAGCTACATGTACAGAGATATTTTGACAAATAATCAATGGCCGAGCATGCCACCTC